TCAGTCAGCGGCAGAGTCTTCTGGTCCTCGCTTGTGCATACCTGCGTGGTCCGCTCGGGTGCTTTGCATTAGGCGTTTGCATGCCTATGCGGCTGACTGACGACGCACAGCGCGTACAAGGACGCGGATACAATCCGATCCGACACCCTCCATACAGGCACTACGCGGCAAGGTCTCATAGTTTCACCGTACGCAGAAGATACAATGCAAAATCGATGCATCATGCAAATTCGGCGAAGTCAAGCCGATCCGACAGTCATTGTACGTCTCCACTATGCTCTGAATTTGTCCTCGGATCGAGGCGCCTCCTGCACTATTCCGCCCACGTCTTCCGCAAGCCCCTTCAACTCTGAAACAGCCCGCTCCCATGCTTCTTCCCTGGCCTCCTCGATCCTTTGCCTCTTGGCACTCATGGGATAGCCATATTTGACCTCCTTGGGGACCTTGCCGAACACAGGTGCTCCACCTGCCACACCTCGGTGCTCGACGAAGACTGAGTTGATGAATTGGTGTTCCTCGGCAGACCAAGCTGATCTGAACATGTTGATGCCGACCAGGTCAGAAGCGGCCAGGCCTCGCTCAGAGAGATATCCTCGAAGGTCAAAGTTCTCGCGACTGGTCTCAGAGGAGGCAGTGGAAGAAGATTGTCGGAAGAGCAGGAAGACGTATCGGTGTTTTGGAGTACCTTGCTCAGGCGCAGGCGGTTCCCATGCTAATACCTCTGATCCAACCGACGACTCGAACAAGTCGACTTCACCGGAGGTGACAGAGAGAGGGATATCAGTCTTCAGGTAATGGAGTCGTTGGGCGAACGAGTGGGTCTCGTGAGAAGGCGAATCGGGGTCGATGACGAGCAGGGTGTGGAGAGCCTCTGGGTTCGGGTTCGCGGCGGTGGGGTAAGCAGGGTGATGGAAGATCTGTGATTTGAGCGAAGGGGGATCTCGGAAGATCGATGGCTTTTGTACGGATCCAGGCTCGACGTAAGACCCATTCAGCGTGAGGGCGAGAGGCGCTGTCGGCGGAATCTCGGGTAGAAGATCGGGCACAACGTTCATCTGCAGTACCCGCTGCATCAACAGGTCCAATTCACCTTCCTTCTTCCATCGTTGCTCTCCGAGCCATCGATAGATCGTCTTGTCCATATCTCCCTTTCCACCCGTCTCTCGGAACACTCTTCTGACCGCCGGATCATTCGCGTATGCATCGACTTCAAGCTGGTCTATCCGTCGCAGTAACTCAGGGTTAGACTCGGGATTTGACGAATCGACTTTCGATTGAAGTCGGCGCAGCTTTGACAGTGTCGTCTTCTGATGTTCGGAGAGGAATGACAGGGCAGCATCGTACGCTGGGGAAGTACCAGCGGGAAGAGCGGGCTCCCACGATGATGATGCTGACGAGGACGAGGAGGATGAAGCGGACGCAGTTGAGCTTGAAGACGAGGCGGCTCGAGCAAAGATAGTCGTTGAAGCGTGCTTCGAGCTACCTGCTCGCGCAAGCATTCGGGTCGCTACGGATCGGGGCGTCATGATGTCTATTCAGTATATTGCGCGCTGAGATCGATGAAGACTTGAAGTGGATAACAGTATTAAATATAGATGTGTTCTTGACTTGTCAGAGAAAGCCGAAACGAACGACTGCACAAAGACGATCTCAGTTGAAATGCCGCCAACTTTTGGTTATTTCCGAATGTGGCAGCAGGTAGCATGTATTATTGAATCCCGTCACAATGTCATTTAGCACTTCACGAGCTGGTCATGTACAAATGCCCCACCCGACCATCAAGCTCGCTTCATGCAGTAGTCTCGAGCCACAGGCGAGGCTCATAGATCCATGTTGAAAATTAGTATCGAGTGCGATCGCGTGCGGAGATACTCTGTGCAGCTGGGCGTCTTCGGACCGCCGCTCTCGCAGTGACCAAGTCCCCAGCTTGTTAGATACTGCGGCTGGCTCACAGACTAGTAGCTAGCCCTTGGACGTGCTAAAGCCGGACCCTTCTCCTCAACATATATTAACTTAGTGTGCTTGATACTGACTTTGCTGCTTTGGAGGAAGTCAGTGAGTGGTGGTGGTATCTCATCTGCCAAAATCACGGAAGCAGGGAAGCTCCAAGGAAGCTGATTGCTTCCGTCGGAATACGATAATTAGCGTAACTTAGCGGTACCTTGATCTCTTGGATCGTCGTCTTGTTTGTTTTGAACCATCCTTTGGCTCCAGTGATATTCTCGGGTCGCGCCGAATTGATTTGTGGCCACAAGAGCCATCAGAGACTCGATCATATGCGTTTCGCTGTCTTTAAGGCGTTTGTGAGAGTCACCAGCCTCGTATTTGGATCCGCTTTCGCGCTTCGTGCTCTGTGGCCAGACTTGCCGAGCAGGCCAAAACGACGCGTTGAGTCATTAAACGGCTGGTCATGCCACCGGCATCGAATCAGCCTTTGCGGCTCTCAAAACCCAAGGCATATCGCTCTTCGCCCCCTCCAGAGCCGTCCGAGGGATATGCAGTTGCGCCTCCTATACCGAATATATCCACAACCACCAATCCGACATCAGCCGTGAGACGCACCCAGCCGCCATCGATACCACTGCAACCCCCGCCGTCTTCGGATCGGCATGAGGCTGATGTCCCTACTTTCGTGACTGGTCGAGAGGCACCTCCGGTCTACTCTCCGAGACCACCACTCAGATCCAGATGGTCCCCGCCCAAGTTTGTACGGCGTCGTCTGGTCTTCTTCGGCATCATCCTGCTCACTCTACTCGTCATCATCGCCCGACCGAGATTACCCAAGACGCTACCTACCGCACCGGGCTTCTTTCCTTCCAAATTCCTTCATCGCAAATCGCAAGCTCGAACACCTGTAGGCGCTATAGAGTATCCGGATTACATAGACAAGATAGAATCGCTTTCAGAGAGGGAGAAGGCCAAGGCGCAGGCCGAACACGCTGTCGCTCTTCAGCCGTATTTCGCTACGAATCCGAATTGGGGAGGACGAGAGCATGGTAGAGACGACTACAAGGCGTACACGGAACGGGAGTTGAGAAAGCTGGCAGTCTGTGTAGCCACCGATACGTGCAGGGAGAATCAGACAAGTGTGAGTATCTCCGTGTATGTCACAGCGAACGTTCAACACAGGACCAACATGACTATAGCTGATGTGACCGTCGAGGTAGGTTGTGATATACGGTCACATCTTCGCTCACTTCCACATCTACGAAGGATACATGGGAGGCGAGGGCATTTGGACGCATTCTTTGGTATGTCCCCTTGTCAGCTACGGATCGAGGGCGTTTTGTGACACCTTGACTGACCATAGCGATATACCAGACCGAGACGCTGGAAAAGTACGGATATACGATATTACATGCTCGAGATGATTGGCGTGAGTTGTTCGATCGATGACTGCGTTTATGCCTCAACCTCTTTGGCTAATGGCAATGGCAATGGGTAGCGTACATGTGGTACATCCATAACCAGATACCCAACATGGTCAAGGTAGGCTTATAACATCCGACACGCCTTTGTGACCCGAGAGCTCACAGCTGTGTTGGTAGGCGGTCATCGCTTGGCGATCAGGGCAATACGGAGGAGCTTCCGACTTTATGAAGACTCCTTGGAGACCTAACGGTATTCCAGCGTGGAAGGTAAGACGACGACTGCCTCATTTTGAGGAGAATCCGGTGTAACGCGCAAGCTGACCAATTGTTTGCCGCAGTACTTCGTGTACAATTACTTCCCTGACCATTATATCTCGACTGTTGGAGACGCTTGGAACGTGCATTCGGAGCTGGGATACTCAAACAATCAGCGGAGTGAGTCTTGTCTTCGTGTTTACAGCGGTAAGGGGCCGGTTCACCAAAGCTCGACTGACCGTGCTGCTCCATCTAGACTTCACATTCCTGCCGTACATCGTCGAGAAGCCGCCTCCCACCTCATATATCCCGACAGAACAACGTCCCTACCAGGTGTATATCCTCGCAAAGTTCGTTCGATACTTCTACCCCGGTACGCAGCCCGCGTGGGAGGATACCTCGGTCTTCGCGACTGCCAAGTCCATCTTGGAGAAGGAGTTCCCGGGATTCGAATTTGTCGTGGGCTGTAAGGACGATCGAAACGCCGAGCAACAGGAGAAAGAGCCCATGCAAGTGCCGGATGGTATCAGGAATCTGGGTATCATGACCAAGGATGAGTTTGAGAGGCAATTGGCCAGCTCAAGGGCGATGTTAGGTATCGGTTGGCCGACTCTGAGTCCGAGTCCGCACGTCGCGCTGAGCTATGTAAGTCTACACTGCGATATCTCTCGGTCCCTCAGCTGACCACTAGGATCATGGTGACAATTGCAGGGTATTCCGTTCATCAGTCCTGTAAGTCGAGAGTTCTGCATCCCCGTTGCAATTGGAATTGTCTGACATGAGCTTGAAAATGCCAATATCAGTACTCGATGTGGGGATGGAGTCGATACGAAGACCCAGAGACCTGGGCTCAGAGTCAGCACAACACTCTCAAGGCGCTTGATGAGCCGTGAGTATCTCGCATCATCCCCGCTTTGTGTAATACGTGAAGCTTGGCTTACTTCGGTCATTCGCGATGTTGCCTCAGTTATGTCTATCACGTCTACCGAGGGAATGCTACACAGCTTGTCGATGCGATCCGAAAAGCACTGAAGACACCCATCCCTCAATTCGTGTTGCCTTACATGACCCGAGAGTATCAGGAGAAAGCCGTCGGCGAGTTCATGAAAACTGATTGGAGGGCGAAAGCGGAAGGTATTCTGGAAAATAGAAAGAATGGCATAGAAACGGAGAATGGGAACGCGGTGATAGAGTTTACAATGTGACCTTGCGTTGTTGCGTGGATAGATAGCATCGATACAAGAGCTTCCATAGAATCGCATGTACATGGGATTGATGAAGGAACGACCCATCGCCTTGTATGGGTATAACGTCCGCTGTCATCACCAGCGAATGTCGTATATAATATGGCTATTTTAGCAGCAAACATGCGATGTCCTCATCGTCTAGTCTGGTTAGGACGTTACATTGTGGTGGTATTTCACGACAATTTCTGTGGAGGCAGCTGTTCGAATCAGCTTGGGGACATTTCTTTTTGTGCGCCTTCATGGAGACGCTCCACCCATCCTACATCACAATTTCCGCCTTCTGCCACGATTAGAGAGGCGAGATTGCGCAATCATGTGCAGGCAGGCAGGCAGTTGCAAGTGATTCATTGAGAACGAGGACAAGGAAGGGCGCACGCTCTCTGATCCACGCCGTTCTATCTCTTCTTCCTTCTCTCTCTTCCTAACCACTACAACGTCATCAACATCATCATCTCCATTGCCACAACCGCCTATACATACCACAGCAACAGCACTCGCTTCTCCTGTCTACCCTTTTACCTTACCCAGCCAAGTGCAGCCCCCTTATCGGCAGGACGCCAGAACGTAGATTGAGATAATCGCCTATCATGAGTCTCCCAGCGAAGAGCATCACCATTAACCGAAATCTTCGCCCCGCGTAAGTATATTGTGTTAACTCTCAGGCTCAGTTCAGAGCAGCTTGCGAGAATGTACAGCTGACACCTTATGTCATTCGGAATGATCAATAGCGGCGCTTCGGGAAACGCTGGCACTGGGGCACTTTCTACATCTCCCTTCAGCCTATTCTCTCGCCCGTTCACCTCGCACGAGCTCGATAACCCATTTTCGCCTCCGTTGGCCGTAGCTCGAGCCGGCGGCAAAGGCGGCCAGGTCTTTGTGTACTCGGAGTATGAGAGCGAAGCAGGGAGTGGGGACGAATTGTCTTACGCTTCCTTCGCTGGCGGGGGCCGGCGGTGGGTTTGAGGAAGGCAGGAGGAGAACACTGGCTGGACGTGAAGACCAAGACTGCCTACATCAAGACAATCAAGAAGACAGAGACGAAAACAGAGACAGAGACAGAGAAGATGCTCTCGGTCTCGGTCTTGGTCTCGGTCTTGGTCTTTCCGCCAGTCCGTCGTCAGGGAATTTGAGAGACTCCCTGGCGTCCTACCTGCATGACCACCTCTCGATATCACCAACCTCTCCCACCTCTCCCTCTCCGACATCGTCATCCCGCCCGACATACAGTTACCCCCGATCCGCGTCGACCGTTTCCGAACTTCCTACCCCTCCTTCCTCTTTTACGCGATCCGTCGATATCCCCCAACCTAATCCTAATCAAACGTCATCGTCTCTGTACAATCCTCAAACACAAACCGCTACAATGTCATTACCCCTCACGCCGACCTCCTCGTCAAGCCTGTCGGCCAGGAACCCTTCGCCCGCCAAGGCGGTCAGCAAGAGCAAAGTGACGACAGACAAGCAGGAGAGACAAGTCATCTCGCTCATTTCCTCCATATTCCCGGCTCATTTCGCGACCATCGCTCAGGCATCGCATACGCTTGAAATCGTCACGCCGCCTTGTAATATCCTGAAAGGATTCGTACTCGACCATAATTCGCGCACCGTCTTCATCCATTTGCCGCCGCCATCGGCGTCATCCCAAGCAGCCCAACGACCTGAGACGCTGTCTCCCAATTTCTCCCAGGTCCTACGACCTCACGATCCGTTCATGGTACTATCCACCTCACCACCGAGCGTTTCGTCTCCGACGAAGACGACGAACTACGCTCTGGACATCCGTGAATCGCTCACTGCGCTGCTAGATCTCGCGTCGGAGGCGCTGGAAGCCAGTAGTCTGGTACTTGTGCTGGACCGAGAAGAGCGAGAACAAGAAGGTCTGGGTGAATTACTGCATTCTCTGATGTATGTCGGCGGTCAGGTCATCAAGCCCGGAGCGATGGAAGGCGGGTGGGAATGGGATCCAATGAAGTGGGTTTTGGTGGGTATGGAACTGTAAAATATCACAACAAGTCTTGTGTTCTCTTTTTTTCGTCGGTCCTCAACGGGCTTCTCTCGCCTCTTTCCCGTCCCTGTTTCTTTTCCTTCATTGCGCCGATCCAACTCATGAGCGGCAGCATGCCATAACCATTTTTGTCCCCTTATTTGATTGTCATAATACCTTTCCTAGTGCGATCGGTCCCGGCTGAGGTCAATCGTTCGTAGTGCTCGCCGATTCCCGAATCATAATAGCAGTTGTATAAACATAGGCAGTAATAGTGCGAGTTAAAGTGAGCGAAAAATTCACATGCAAAGCAGAACATAGCAAAGTCAACCACTTGTCAGCAGCCACTCGGCAGCTCCATCGTTGCCATGTTACCTTGAGGTTGCATTGGAACTAATAGAGCGGGTCTGATAGCGGGTCGAAGATTCAATGCTATCTATCGATGTACTGAAGAATGTATGGTAGAAAAAGAGGAAAAAAACACCCATGTACTGACAACATCCATCTCGGACGATCAGGCCATTCTACGACTCAACGTTGTACAACAGGACACGATCGTCCGCCTTCGTCTCTTGACTCTTGCCCCTTTCAATTAGGTCACTGTGCGCTACTTGCCGAAATCTAATGCAATAAATTGTCCATCTGCTTTTCTTGCTTATTGGTCTCTCTTGTCCTCCACAATCGGTTCCGTACCTCCCGGCATCGTCGTGACTTCTGTCTGTTGCAATTCCTCTGAGACGTTGTCGTCCATCGCGGAGGCCGACTCGTCTGGAAGGGTCGCAGGCGTATCATCTCCATTTGTGCTGAGACCGAACGAATGACCGACTTCCGATGGCCGAGATGAGCTCACGCCCCAAGCGGTATTACCGAAACCGACACTGTGCCCGGCTGACGAAAGGTCGAACGAAGTCATTGTGTCACCTCTTGACCGGACAGGCTCGTCATCGGAGCTATCGGCACTCAGCGTAGGACTAGGTGGCAAAGGAGTGGACGGGGAGCCGGTGGCAGAGTAGGAAGGGAGCTCATCCGACGAAGTGTCTAGTGAAGGCGAAGGGTAGCCGGAAGCGTTTGCCGAAGAAGGGAGAGTCGAGGGTCCGGCAGCAGGAGACGGCGGCATGGGGGAAGCTGCACGGGATGCTTCCTAGTAGTCGCAAAAGCAGAACATCAGACCACATCCAGTAAATCACGTCATTTAGCAGTCGAGTTCAGCTCACCTCTGCCTTGACTCGCGAAATACCGCCGATGGGTCGCTTGGTCCTTCTTCGGTAAAAGAGCAGATATGCGGCACGGCTCTGCTCGATCAAGTCAGCTGAAGCGTCCCTCCGAGAATGGTTCGCGACGAACAGCTCACCTGGACGGACGAGGCATCTGCCTTTGATACTCTTGAGTCGTCATAGTTGTACCATTCGCCATCGACCTTGTTTCGGCAGAAAGCGGTATAATGGCCGCCGCCCATGCCACCGAAATGGTTGTCCACGGCATCTGATTGAAAGTCAGTGGGTATAACAACGCCCAAGCCGATACAGAATACTCACAGAGATCATAGACCATCTCTTCAGCCTCCTCCTCGATGCCAAACTCTTCCAATCGCTCCCCATTCAACCTCAAGCTCTTGGCCACCTTTCGCTCTCCTATTCGGTCTCCAAGATCAAGCCCATCCACCGGGAATTGAACGAGATGATCCAGTTTATCCGCCATTCTGCGGGCAGAACCGAATCGCTTGATACATATGACGAGGATGTCAGGAGCCTTGTAGATCTCGAGTCTCTTGGTGGCCGCCTGATGCTTCTTGCACTGCAATCCAACGGGCTCGCATCAGCGTGTGTGAACTCCTTCCTTGACACAAGGCGCACTTACGACTGGGCAGTACCAAAGATCGTCCTCTCCGAGCGTTTCCTCTTTGGAGAACTCGTCGAGGCAGTCCTCGATGGTGATGCTCTTCCCTTGCTGCTTCTTCGCCATTTCCTTCTCGATCGCTGGGTCAATCACAACATCACCCATTCTATCCGCATCAAGCCACTCCTCAAACGTCTTGGCGGACCATTCGCAGAAGATTCCTTCCCCTGGTCGAATGACGGGTGTCAATTTGTGGGCAGCAGCAGACGAATCTGACGAATGCTCCTCATCTTCCGATGCGTAGGATGGGCTGACAATAGAGCTGATGCCCGATGCAAGCCTGTTCACGATGTGCTTCTTGGCCTTCTTCCTTCTCGACTCGAGTGGTGACCAGCTGTGCGAGGCGCTGGAGGGTTCCTTTTTATAGATGGGCTGAAGGGCATTGTCCTTGTCTTTGGATTTGAATGTGAAGTCGCCGGCAGGGTCGGCGACATGCACCTTGAAGAGATCGGTCCGAGGAACGAGCGGTCCTGAGATGGATCCTGCGACTGATCGACCGGAAGTTGATGCTTGACTAACAAGTGAGGTGGTTGACGCGCTGGGATGTAGCCCAGTGATGGTAGAAGCATGCGCTTGAGAACCATCCGAACCGTCGACGTCCATGGCGTGATCATTGTGTTCCGAAGTAACCTCGACGACTGTCGCTTGATCACCGTTGAGATGGATCTCGGTCACAGCGTCCTCGCTCTCGGGCCTTGGCGATTTGGGGATCGCAGCTTTCGAGCTGGAAGCGTGAACATACAATTGATCTCCAAACTCTGGTCTAACGAACCGGGTGTATCCTCGCATGATCGCTTCTCGGACCGCGGCAGGATCAGTCGCTTCCTCCTTTGAAAGAGTGATGAAGAAGGGCTTCAGATGGTTCTGAGAAGGCACATCGTGACCACGGTATCCGCTGCCGCGGTGGTGCTCAACGGTTTTGAAGGTATAGACCGGTACTGTGATTGAGCCATCGTTGGAAACGGTACCGACTGCTTTTCGATTCGCCACCACAGGTGCGTCGAGCTCGTAGAAGATGATCTCGTCGCTGTCTTTTGCCTCGCCATTGTGATCCGGATCCAGCCAAAATTGGTAAGGGTAGCCATTCCAGAGATCGAAACCGAAGAGCTGGATTCGGTATACAAGCTTATTAGTCAAGAGCCACGCCATATGGGCAAATCGAGCAGAAGAACTTACATTGGATGGCTTTGAGCCCACGATCGCCGAAAGCTTGTCTTTGACCTGGCCGAAAGAGGCGTTCTGGGGTATTAACATATTCACCTTGACAGGAGGCTTTGCGACGTCATTGGGAACGAAAACCATTCTCATCCGTCGGTGTTGAGCTATCGGAAGAGGGACGG